GCTGCGGGCCCCGGAGGAGCGGGGTCGGGGGCAGGGCCAGGGCCAGGGGTGTTCCCCGCGAGTGGGGGCCCTGGTCCGAGGGCGTTCTGGGGGCACAGAGCCCCCTCTTCGCAGGTGCTCTGCATCCGAGGTAGAGTGCTGTTCGTCGGTAAGGAAACCGCTCCGAAATACGGCTGGGGGGACGCCGTTAGTGACGTCCTTGCGGTGAAATGATGAGAATGGAAGCAGGATTGTGGAAAAGGAGAGGAAGTCTTCAAACTTTCGCTTTTGTTGTTAACACTAGTTAGCAGCCTTTTGGGAAAAGGCTCCCTTACAGGTGGTGGCATGCCATAGTTTTCAGTGAAGTGTGTAAGATCTTGTGATGCAGGCATTTACGGGTCTTTGTCATAGACTTTCAGTCAGATTAAGAAAAAATAAGTTCTAGGTCCATGTTATGATATGTTTACAGAACTGTAAAAGAGAGGCCAAAAAAAAAAAGGTGACCTTTACTCAGATCTGGATATTGCATTCAAGTAATTCCCTCAATACCAAAGGGATCTGATTGCAAAACTGAAATGAGGCAAAGCCAACGTTTTTCTTTTTTATGTTAAGTACAGCAAATCCCTATGTTCCATTCTCACATCTTACTTGTGCTGGCTTTTTGTTTGTTTATAGTTTGGGGTTGTTTGCTTTTTTATTTCCTGAGAATATTTTATTTCTTGTGTTTCAACTTTTGGAGTGTGTTTTGGGTTTTTTTTGCCTGGTCCTAAGAGTTGGATAGAATATGGATGACTTCTGCATTGTCTTCTCTATTTTATTGTTTAGTATTTTTTTTTTCTCTTTTCCAATGGAAAATAACTTGGAATTTCAAAGTCCTTATGGAATTTTTGTTCTTTTAAGTTGCTCTTTTACATGAGTCAAGGAATGATTTCTTACATTTCTCGTTATGTCCCTCTGTGGTTGATGGGTATGTGCTGAATTGTACATCTGCCAGCCTTTGCTTCTACATTGTGGTCATTGACCTCTGTTAAAAGTTTACTTCAGTCTCGTGCTTTTCGTTAGTGTTAAAACTTGTTAGTGCTGATATGGTATTTATAGATCTGTAGTTGTTGAGCTATTCTGATCTGTTTTCCTGGTAATTACTTATATTGCTTTTAGGGCTTGATCCATATCTTTTTAGCTTGCATAGAATAACCTGCCCTGGTCATGTGAGTAGTCCTAAAGCCCTGGAAATGCTGAGTTACATTATTGTTGCTTTAAACTTCCATTCTGTTCCAGTGGAGACAGGTCTGGGCTAGTTTGGGGTAGAAAAACATTCACTTTTTTGGTTTTGTATGTTGATGAAGAAGAGGAAGTATCCTCATTCTGCTTATATGTAACTCTTATGGCAGAGCCAGAAATCCAAGGCAAGACAAAGCAGAGGGTATTGTTGGGGTTTTTTTTTTTTTGTGCATTACTAGATGTACCGCTTCCTGTTCAAGTCTGTGTTAATTGTGCAGTGTAGGTTGCAAGTTTAATTAGTCTTCTAGTGCTGATTTAGATCAATATTGCTAAGGCTAGACTATGAAGCCAAACGTTTTGCATTGAAAATGTGATGGATATTCAGAACAAGATTCCCTTCAAGATACAGTAGAACTGTCACAAAACATGATAGCTAGAGTTGAAAGAGAAGCAATTCACATCTTGCCTTGAAAAATCAACTTTCCTTTTGAAAGCAAAATGTTCACTACTGGTCTGTCACTTTATGCTCTCTAAATACTAAATGAACAATCTAGGAGCCGCCTTCTCCTAGTTAAGCCAGGGCTGTTAACTTCAGATAGTTTAGATGGGTTTGCCTTGAAAAACTTGTACCTTGGTGTTTGGAAAAAATGATACAATGTAGAAATCAGTTACAGCAGTGAGCTGTACAGGAGCTACAAAGTTCTGATTTTAGTCCTGACTCTAAAACTAATTTGTGATTCTGACTTTGAGTGAGTCACTCGACTGCTGTATGTGTTTCCTTGTTTGTAAGGGAGGAGAGTGTCTGTGAGAAGATAGCAAAACAGCTTTTGCAGAGCTTCAGATTAGTGGAGTAAGAGCTAGAATATGAACATACGAGTTTTCTCCTTTAACTGGCTTCTGAAAATGATGAAAGGATTTTACCACAGAGTGAAAACTGAGATGTGGATGTAAAATGCTCACTAAATACTTCAGATATTTGGATGTTAGAGTAGTAAGTGAAGTCTTGCTTGGTTTGCATTGCACAAAGTGAGCAAGAACATGATCGTTCTTATGATAAACCTTCTGCCAGATTTTAATGAATCTTAGTAAATTCAAATAAGCTACAACTAAGATAATCTCTGTTTTACTTGCTCAGAGTCTGTCCTGGTTTTGGCTGGGATAGAGTTAATTTTCTTTGCAGAGGCTAGTATGTGGCTATGTTTTGGATTTGGGATGATAACATGTTTGATGTTGATAACACACTGATGTTTTCAGTTGTTTCTGAGCAGTCAAAGACTTTTCAGCTTCCCACGCTGGCCTGCCAATGAGAGGACCAGTGGTGCATGGGAAGCTGGGAGGGGACATGGTGGGGACAGCTGACCCGGGCTGGCAAAGGGGTATTCCATATCATACGGTGTCATGCTCAGCATATAAAGCTGGAGGAAGAAGAAGGAATGGGGGGACACGTTCGGAGTGATGGCATTTGTATTCCCAAGTCACCGTTAGGCGTGATGGAGCCCTGCTTTCCTGGAGATGGCTGAACACCTGCCTGCCCATGGGGAGTGGTGAATGAATTCTTTGTTTTGCTTCACTTGTGTGCACAGCTTTTGCTTTACCTATTGAACTGTCTTTACCTCAACCCACGAGTTTTCTTACTTTCACCCTTCTGATTCTCTCCTCCATCCCACTGGTGGGGGGAGTGAACGAGTAGCTGTGTGGTGCTTAGTTGCTGGCTGCAATTAAACCACGACAGAATCCAAGGCTGTCTGTGAGAATTGGCAGTTTGGTACTTGTGTTAAATTCTAGAGTTGGAAAATGCAGCTGCTTTTTGCTAGCAGTGTTCCAAAACGTAATTTCAATTACTTATCTGAAGCAAGCTAGAACCATGTGCAGCTATTGGATAGTAACAAATTGTGTGCAGCGTAATCATTCCCAGTAACTGTTGCACAATTATATCCTATAATGCTAAAAGCTGTGCCAATTAGGTTGATCAAAATGTGATTTTGGTGATAGGATTAATCTTTCTTCACTGACAGAGAATGGTCCTAGCAGCATTTTTCAAAATGCTTAAGTTGTTTACAGTATCTGAAGTGGATGGGAAATTACAGAATCTTAAGAGAGGGGGAGGACTGCGAGGTAGGCTAACCAGCAGCTAGTATAAAACTAAAAGTGAAATTCAGGTGCAGTTGATAAGTGTGTTGACAGTTGGTGTCTGTAGTTCAGTGTTTGCTACTTTAGCAGAAGGTCATTTAAGCTGAAGCTGTGGATTAGAGGAAAAGTCTCTTTGCTCTCTTTCATAAATAGTTGGTATGAGAATGTTTTAATAAATGAAAATGGGTTTGCCTAAATTCTGTTACTGTTCTTGTCCTGATTTAAGATGTATAATAGCTAAAGCACCCATGGATGTCAGTCTGGTTTAATCAGAACTACATGTGCTGTTAAGAATCTGTATGATTAAAAACAAACAAATGTTTTTTTCAATAGGTAGAACAGACTTGGAATCAGTCACTTAAGCAATTCTGCATTTTTATAGGGAGGCAAACAAGCAGCATGTAAGATGTCAGAAATGTTTAGAGTTTGGACATTGGACCTATGAATGTACAGGGAAGAGAAAATACCTGCATAGACCTTCGAGGACAGCTCAATTAGCGAAAATTCTTAAAGAAAAAGAAAAGCAACTATTACTGCAACAAAGGTAAGATTGGCAGAATGAAAATGCCTAGTTTATTAATGAAAAGGTAATTTTGTATGTGGGTGAGAAGGGTGGTGTCCTAGACCATTTGCTGTTATTTTTTCTTCCAGGCTGTGTGATGCTTGCTTAATATTAGAATCATTTTGTTTGTTACCTGGAATATGTACACTCAGGTCCCACAAAATTAAAATGCTGTTTGTTAACACCTGCTCATCTGAAATACACTTAAAACCTTTTTGGCCTATCTGAAACAAAAAAAGTGCACTAAGCTAAAGTTAAAATAGTTGGAGCCGCCTTTGTAATGGAATACTGTTTCCTGAATCCCTTGATAACTTGGTTTCATATGTTTATGTGCTAGTACAAGCAGGTTGGTGTGAATACTGTAAATGTATTTATAACAAAGAAGCAATTCTTTCACTTCTGTTTAGGTTTGCTGTTAGACTGTGTGGTTAAAACCTGGTCTTCTGGATATGACCTGACAGTGGATTTGTGCCAGCACAGCTCCTGTATATTGCTTATTATGAGCTGTAATGGTTAAACGGGTGAATGACAGTTGGATTATCAGGTGGTTTGAAGTCTCAAGTGTAAAGTAAAAACATCACTGAATTGCTGAATTATTTCCCTTTTTGACATCTGACAAAGCGAAAGATACCTGCAGCTAAACAGAAAAATCAAAGTAAAACTCTGCCTTTGTGTAATGTGATTTCCTTTCCACTTTGTTCTGTGAGTAGACCTTAATAATTGTTTTAACAAGCAACTCTATATGACAAAGAGAAAAATAACATAGCACAGTAGTTTTCCATGAAATTCCTATGTATGAGGGTCTCCATTCCACCATTACAACTCAAATTTAGTTATGGTACCTGAAGAGTCCTTGCCTCAGCCCTACTGAGGGACAGCATCATTTATAGCTGTTGCAGCTAAAATTGTTGAGGATTTGGAAACATACCCTCTGTTGTTGCCACTTGCAACTCAGTATGTTGTCTGTAGGTCATTAGTGCTGCCAGGATGTGAGTTGTGGAAGAGTGTTCACACCTTTTGCTCTGTTACCTTGATGGGGGAAGAAAATGGGTGGTAGCCTCTGGCAGAGAGGTCTAATTTGACTTTGTCAGTTGTTTCAACTGTGGCAGCAGTATGAATCAGAGTGCTGAAACACTGACTGAAGCGGAAGCCCATTAGCTTGTGTTGAGTGACATAAAATGTTTGATTTTCTGAAATTAATTTTGATCCAGTGAGTAATTCTGAAGCAATTGTAATCCCCTAGTATTGTACATAAGAAATCAGGAGTGCCTGGGCTCTAAAATTGATTCCCTTTGGAGACAGAGTTTGGAATAGTTCTTCAGAGAGTTAAGATTTTTAGGAGAAATATTGAGTTTGAGTCAGATTATTCCCTTGTTCCTTTCCTGCCCTATTTCTATTGAGTTCTGCAGGTTAACACTGGAGGATAGTGAATTAAGGGTGAAATTGCTTGTTGCCTAGCCATTGTGCTTGAGTCTGCGTATGGGATAATTTTGTAGAGGAGTTACAGGACTGTCGAGTGTCTGTCATGAATGGAGTTTTTTGAGCTGGAAGTCTAACAGTTGACAGTGTGAGGGGTATATGGTGTGAAAAGTCATCTCATAAAAGGGAGACTAAGTAATCCTTAGATGGGAACAGGTTTTAATCTTGATTAAATTGGGCTGGATTCATACTGGTTATGTAATGATAAGCTCTCTGAAGCTCCTTAAGTGCCATGAGGCACACAGTTCCTTAGATGCCAGTGTTACATTTTCAAGGATGAAACTTATTCTTCATGGAAAGAAAAACTTCTAGGTCACACTTTTACTTTTTGCATAGCTTGCTTTGGAAGGTTTTCTTGTCTGCAGAGAAGTTGGGTCTCCTGCAGGTCTGCTGCAGAGTATTTGTAGCATCATCTTTAAAGATCTAATAATGAATCATTAACCAGAAGGCAAACATAGTCTAATAAGATTAATATTTGCTTTTTGACAACCATATTCAAGGCTTTTCAGCATTAACTTTTCAGCAGTTGTTCCAGGTTCCTTCTATTTGCCCAGTGTTGACCCCATGATTCTGATAGACATTATGGAGGTTTTGCTGACTGGTGTCAATGAAGCCCATGGCTTGCTCGTCCTAGAGTAGGAGTTGGGAGGGGAAGAAAGGTGGGAAAATGCTTATTCCTTACTGATGTTACTGCATTGAACCAAAGCCAGGATGCTTGAGTCTTATTTGTAGTTCTGAAGACAGTGTGGTGCCACAGGGAAGATGACCAAGTGTCATTAAAAAGATTTGTTTGATCCTCAGGGGCCTGACCCCTCGCAGTTGTGTGGTTCCATGGAGCAGTGAACTCCTATACTTACCCATACGGTAAACGCTAGAGGGAGGCACAGACCCGTGCTGCAGCGGCCAGGGTTACTCACATGCTGAATTAGGTCCCGTCTTCGGAAAGGTGATTTGGGATTTAATTCTGTTTACTCACAGTGACTTCTCTTACCCGTCAAACACCTGGTTACCTATGGTAAGGGTATAAGGCCTTAATAATCTGAATATTAACAACATTCAGTAGTACAGGAGGGATCATAATTTGGTTTGAAATTTGAAGATCAATGAATCTTCCTCTTGCCCACAGAAGATTGTGGGGAGTGTAGAAAACCGTTCTGTGCAATTATAACATTTTCATACCATACGTATGAAAATAAAAAATTGAAAAATCTAATTTTTCTGGCATATAAATGGCACTGAGTACTTGTATTGAAATACAGTATAGTTTACACTTAACACTTTCTTCTTTCCACCCTTTTCTGGAGTCCTTATCAACACATACTGCAGCCTAATTGCTAGATGAAATATATTTGCAGTTTTTACTTTATTTCTGTGTGTTTAAGATGGTTTCCAATACTAGGTTTCAGTTGAGGAAAAAGTATCCTGGTTCATGAAAGAATGTGCAACTTATATATCAGTGGCATGTTAAGCATGTTGTAAATATATGATGAGGGACTATTTAACCACACATGTATATTCCAGGTTGAATTATGTGCTATATATCTACAGCTGATTGAGAAGAGCAGGTGACTGGTATGTTTGACTGAAAGAATTTTATTTTCTTTAAAAAATAATCCAGAAGCAAAAACTGGTTTAAAAAGAACACAAACCTTTTAGTGTTTTGTTAAAAGAAAGTTTCTTTTATGTCATTTAACACTCAAACTTCCTGTGAGCATATGAATGCATGGGAATCTGAAAGACAAATAGCTGGAAAGCATCGGTATAGATTATTCTGTGTCTTTTTGTACTTGAAAGAAATACATGGTGAAAGCTACAGACTAATTCAGTATTTTATCCTTTGTTTCAATGAATTCAGTTACTGCTAAATATGGTTAGAGAGAACTTTTTTGTATCCTTTTTTCCTGTGCTTTCCCTATCCCAAAATGTTGTAGTCCGTACAATATGAAGAGTAAAGCGTAATTAACACAGAAAATGAGAGGTGGATTGCTGCTTTTTTTTCTTTCTTGATTTGTAGGTATTGTTGTTTTTCTGGTTTGAATAGTTACTGAAAATAGATGCCAAATGAACTTCGGGCGGTGCAACACTCTGCCAGTGGGATATCAGCTTTCTAATATTAAACTCAGCTCCACTGTGCTGCTATTTATTTAATTTTCCTACTGCATTAATCAAAGCCATTGTTTTTCCCCCTTTAATTAGCACTGGAGAAAGTACTGCAGAAAGGAAGACCAAGAAAAAAAGGTATGTGGGGAACAATGACAAATTGTGCAGCTGTTTCAGTGTGTGATCTTGCACTGGGTATTGTGGCAGGCAATTTGGAAGGCGTGTGTGTGGAAAGTCAACATTGCAAACACAGTTTTGATTTTACTGCTTTTAGCCTGTTACAGGCAGTTGCATGACAGACATTGGGAGAATTTTTACTCCTCCCTGTCCAAAATCTCTAAATTTTATCCTCTGCTTTTGTCCCTACTGATTGTCCTATCTCTACATGATCTTGCTTTAATAATAAAAATCTTTCTATTTCTGCCTCAAAAGTTCATCAAGTGCATTTTAAACAATTGTGCAAGAGTGGCATACTGTTTTCTAGTCTGTAATCACTCCACCTACCCATCTTGCTCTTCCTTTTGTTGTTTTCATTCCCTTCTTGTAGCAGCTGTCTCTCTCTGAAGTTCTACCTAGAGCATGAAATAAAGTACCTAAAAAAACCCAAACCCCACCCCCCCAAAAAAACCCCCAAAAACCAACCCAACCCCAAAACCAAATAAAAAAAACCCCAATCCCAGACCAAAACAAAATCCAGGAAATAAACCTCCCCCCTTAAGTACTAAGCTGAGCCACGAACTCTTTCTCTTTTAACGTTACTTCCACTTCACTTTGCAGTAACATTTGCTTGGGAATTCGCTTCTTGTCTTTAATAGCAAAACCCTTTCAGGAACAGCTAGAACCCTGGCTGTAATACTCCTGCTAATCATGTTACGAGTTTTACTTACAGAGGATGTCTGTACAGTAATAGACTCATTATCTCTTTGCATTTAGTTGACTGTCCTCTGTCTCTAAATCTAGTTCTAGAAACATTTTTTGAAGATTTTTAAAGGCTAGGCCTTTTGCTTTGTGTGGCAGTCATTAAATAAGCCACAGCAGCTTTTAAAACACATCTTTATTTTTAGGCTGTCATGTGGAATGTGGCTTTATTGGAATGCTTCTTGGTGAGTGTCTTAGTTCTACTATCAGAATATATTTTATCAAAGGCTCCTTTCTCAGTAGTGTCCATTTATTGTTGGAGTTATTTAGGACTAGTGAGACCATAAATTAACTGATTTCTAAACAATGTAGTTCAGACCTCTTCCTGCCTCAGCTTTCTCATATGCTGCACTCTTCTACTTGGCATAATGATTTTCAGAGTATTTGAGCTCTAAACCAATGCAGAAATGAAAAGAGCAAAAGGATCTATGGGGGAGGGGGTGTATTGGTCACTCTTTCTTTTGTTCCCTCTTTCCTTAAAATTTTAAAACTCTTGAAGGTTTGAATTGTTATCCTGTTTTTATGCAAGCACTGAATCCATCAATATCTATTCCTTTCCAGATAGTTTGCTATTTCTATATTTCTTACAATACAGGAAGAATTAAATGTGGAAAATTCAGTAAAGTGTTACCATTGAATATTCATGTTCCAGATTAAAAAAAAAAAAATGCAAAAGTTAGGGTTCTGGCAGTAGTAAGCACTAACCTTTTACTTAGTGTATGTTTGTTTTGCTCTAAACAGTAATAAGTAGGTTACAGGCTTAACCAGAAAAACAGGAACAGGTAAAACAGCTGTTGTACAATCTTGTGACCTCAGGTGACACAGAGCTGTCTTCTGGGTGCATGTTGCCTTCAACGTTCCCATACGGCATACTTTGGTTATTAATTGAAAGACCACTTCATGTTCAGATCACATATATATCTACCTGTCTAAAGGGTAAATGCATGTCTTAAATCACTTGTTTCTTCAGGCATCCAGCTGTGATTGTGCCCAAAACTGTAGATTTGATTTAAGTAGCATGTTTAAAATTACCTGGGGTTGTTCAACGATTGCAATAGAATTAGAAAAGACAAAAAGTCTGAGAGGTGTCGTAGCATGTGTTACAAAAAGCAGCAGTTGTTCCACGATTGGTGCACACAATCATACAAGATAGTAACATTTGTGAACTTTTTTGGAGGAGAATGAATGCTTGTCCGCTGGAGAAATTTTGTACTTTTACAGTGGTGTAGTAGAACCAAAAATCTTGGATCTACCAATCTATAGCATCTGGGTTGTCACATTACCTAATTAGGACAAGGTGAAATAGTGAATTATACTTGCTTCCATCTCCATCCTCCATCTATAACTATCAACAGGCCACATGTTGCATCACCTGAAAACAAGTATCTGCTTGTTTCTTCTCTCATAGATCTAGCTATTGCTTTGCTCTAGGAGAAGCAGTGTTAAGTGTTACATCCTGATGTTTCTGTGAGTGGATTTCAGGTTATAACCTAAATATTGGAGGACCATGGACTGCTTCTATGGATTCTGTGAAAGGTGATTAGGAAGAGAAAGTTCAGTCAAGGTTATCATTCAGGGGATCCTCTGACTGATTCTGGTCCGTATAAATGGGTCTGCACATCTAATGAAACTGTTTAGATTTGAACTACTGGTCCCATTTTTTTGGTTTTCCTCATCTTAAGACTAGTTTTTCACCAACAATAAGCCTGATTTAACCAGTCCTTATGGATCTTTATCTTTAATAAATAGCCATTGTGTCTCCATGCGCAGAGATAACAGATTTACAGATGCATTATAAAAACTTCAGCTTAACATATGCATCCAGATTTGTCAGCTGACATGACCCACGGCTGATAACGATGAAAAAAACATTACTTTTTCTCTAATAGCCTTAACACAGGCATTTCCTGAGTTGTTGTATTTAACAAAACCCTCTGACTACTACGTTAATTTTCTAGTGGAAAGAAGATTCTGCATTATTATATCTAACACTTTTGTATGCTGTTGGTTGACTTGATGGGAAGCGGTGTGAATTAATACCTTTACATTTTGTTTGGAGAAAGACCTATGGGAGAACTTAATTGTACTTTCTTGGAATTTGTATTGCCTTAATCAGAGACCTTGATCATGAGTAAGGGTAAAAATAAAAAAAAAATAAATTGCAGAGGATACAGAAATCCACTTTTTCTCTGTTCATAGTTCTGTCTTTGTCTTGGACTGTTTCCACCCTGTCTCTTCCACCGTGAAAACATAAGCATCCTGTAGTGGCAGGTAATTTGGGTTCTTTTGCCAGGAGTAATCGAAGAACAGTTTCCATTGAGTACAGTTCTAACATTTGTGAAATCACTGATGAAACTTCCACCGACATTTACATTGCCAAAATTTCACTCCTTATTACAGTGGTGTGCTAGGGAACTGATCTTTGTTAATTTTTCCCCGAGGCTTTAGTAGTGTAGGACATTCATACTTTTCCTGCAGCCTTGTTCTATTTAGCCAAGTCAGTAAAGACATTTGTGATTACTATGAACAAGATCCTTGCCAGCTTTCAAACTTAACCTTTTTCTTTAGTCCTGTTTTGGCTTGCTTCATGTACATGGTGTCACTCTGCCATTGCTCAAATGGCCGCAATGCATTCATTCAGAATTGGAAAGGGGCGGAGGGGGTGACAGGACATGGGAATTTGTCTTAGATTGTCAGGCCTGGAAACTTTCAGACCAAGTAATTGATCTTTGGATTACAACACAGTATAAAGAACACTGTGTAATGAATACTGTCTCTGGCAGGTCTGTTCTCATCTGTGTATTTGTTTCATTTCAGATCTAAAAGTGTGACCAGTTCCAGCAGCAGTAGCAGTGCCAGTTCAGCTAGTGATTCCTCATCTGACAGTGAAGATTCTTCTACCTCTTCTTCTGATGATGATAGTGACAGTGATGAGAGTTCTTCTACTTCCTCATCTTCTGCATCCTCAAGTAGTACTTCCTCTTCTTCAGAGTTCGAATCAGATTCTAGCTCCTCCAGCAGTAGCAGCAGCAGCACAGACAGTAGTTCTGATGATGAGCCACCAAAGAAAAAGAAGAAGAAATAGCGTGGTACAGTCTAGAACTGTTGTTTAGCGAATGATAACACTCTTCAAAGATGTTTTGAGCATATGGTTGCCAAACAGTTTAACTGGTCAACATTTCTACTGCTAAAACTTTCTAAGTTTGTTGTTCGTAGGACGTGAAAGGCATTAAATGGCACGTGAGACTTACTGAAAGAATATTTTTGTGGTTTTAAGGAAAATTTTACTTTTTTAGTTCAAAAAAATCTATCATCAGATTTGTTTATATGAGCTAAGGTCCAGTAACCTGGATGTTTACATGCTGGAAAGCAAAAGCTTTTTATTGCAGATCGTGCTGTGCATCATATGCTACTACTCTGTTTATGACAGCTTCACTTACATGTAGAAAATCCTCTAAACTATTAGAAGCAAAAGTTTTACACTGCTGGCTGTAGAGCACTGTCATTGTTGAAACTGAATGCACAATGTTGCACACAGAGGGCCTTCCATCTCACTTAACAAATGTATTATGCTGCTGAGCTTTTTTTCTGATGGCTTTTCCTGATGCTTCCAGGTCAAGTCTTAACTGCAACATAAAACTTTAAATAGTGTTCATTTGTTAATGATAAATATACTATTTGTACTGTACAGAGGCTTCAGTCTTTTCAACTTGCCTGTTTCCTTAGCTCATGTATTTGTTGTATTTTCTGAGACACAGAGTGTCTCTTGCAGCAGTGTCTGTGTAAGAAAGAGGAGCAGTGCACAGGGGAAGAATTATGGCTGATGCTGCTTAGGAGTTTCATCTTTGTGCCTTTTTTTGTAAATTAAATGTACTCTAGTGAGAGAAGGGCTTGAGTAGGTGCTTTTCAGAACTCCATTAGCTTTCCATACAGAATATGGTCAGTAAAACCAGAGAAATAGTAGTAACAAACAAAAATAGGCACTATTTTCAAGGAGATAGGAAAAAGGCTATTTTCACTGGATGCTCGATAAGAAAAGGAGTTGCCTTTAAATAGAGGTCCCAAAGTGTTTCCCTTTGATATTTTTGCAAAAAATTGTTGTGTAATGCAAGATTACCAATCTGTGTTGTTGGGCACATGGTGACTGGCACTATAGTCTGCAGTTTAATCAGTCCATTATTTTTATGTAATAGTGTGTACGTGCCTGTGAAAATCTGGCATGGGAAAAGCAAGTTAGTGGGGAAAAAAAAAAAATCAAACAAAACAACAAAAGCGAAATCCAAACATACTGCAGAACAATTATTGCTGGTGGCAAACCAAAAGTCATATGTTCTTTTGGTGGATTGAAGCAGTTGGCATTAGTATTTTAATTTGTGATGCAGTCTCCTAAATTTCTTATCAGTGGAGTGCCCTTTCTTGGGGAGGGGGCATTACATGTGGAAGAATTCTTAAATATCTCGGTTTAGGTAAAACATAGTAACTAAACTATTTTTTATATTTTTATGGAAAAAGTAGTGTGTAGAATTACTTTTGAATAAACTGTGCTTATTTAAATGTTTGAAAATATGTATGTTGTGTGTTTTAGTCTGTAATCATTACTGTGTTTAACAGAACACTCTGCAGACTGTAAATAAAATTACCAGAAAATTGTTTAAGTCTTCTTGAGTGAATGTACTATTTAATGGGAAAGGTTAATAAATTATTAAACAGTAGTTGCTAAATTCATGCCTACTGCAAATCCAAATGTAAGAGTTATAGTAATAGTTAAGTGTGTGTGTAAGCTTTTTGGAATATGGGACTTCTCGTAGCGCAGGGTTTAGGCTGTCTCAACGGTTCCAGCAAGCATGCGTGAAAAACGAAGCGGGTATGGTGGTAAGCCTGCTGCCGGTGACCTCTTCATTGTGTGGGGACTGCTGGAAGAGGAGTGCGGAGCCCGTCTCGGTGGAGGTCTTGTGCTGTGACGCATACAGGCTGTAGTTTGGTTGGTGCTGAGCTGGGCGGCAAGCAGTGTGGACATGAAGGAGGACTGAGGAGCAGGCAGTCGTTCAGAAGGGAGAGGATAGGGATCAAGGCCCAACTACCTCTGCTGTCCTTTTAAGACCATGTTGTACGGTCGTTGCTTTAATGCTGCTGGTGTTGTGTGTATATGGTTTCGTCAGGAGTGCACTGCTTCACACAAGTATATTACTTTTTTCTTGGTAGAGAAAACTTGATAGGGAAGAGAAGTTTAAGGTTGTTGGACAACTAAGTACTAAAGCTAATCATTACATTCAGAGGGTTGGTCTCTTCATAAATCTGTTTACATTTGGTGTCTACAGTCAGATAAATTGGGTCCATTCACAAAGATAAAAGGAAATGTCTGTATATGTTAGGTTCTGTCAGCAGGAGCTAGGGTAAGGTAATGGAATTGCAGTTGATACTAAGACCTTAATTTAACTTCTGGTGTGCTATTGGCTCATGAGTGGAGGTTCAAAGAGCTGGCTTATTGCTGCTTCTGGGTATCTGATACTGTCAAATGCTGCTGAAGCCCAAGACCAATCATAAGTCCCTTCGTACTCACATTTTTTTTTAATATTTAATTTTAAATACAGTATTTGGGTTTTTTTAATTGCGCTTTCTGTTTAATTTGTCTATACATATTCTTATTTTACAGAGTAAAGCCCAACAGCCTGTCAAGAGCTTTGCCAGTTCACCTTTCACTAGATCACATCCTGATTTCTTAGTGGATGCTTTGGTTCAAACTTTTTCCAATGGAAAGGTATTTCTTTAATTACTGTCTTCCAAAGCTCTAAGTTAAGTACAAAAGACCATTACTTTGAACAAACAAACAAAAAAACCCCCAAAACAAAAAAAAACCCCACACAAAAACCCCCCAAAACCAAAAACCAAACAAAAAAAAAAACCCAACCCCAAAACCACTTACTAGAAATTATTATATTTACTAAGCAGTTACATGAGACCTGTGTATCTCTGAACAGCCTCAATTTTAATCCTTCCAATTAGAAGTAAAGCTGCCCTTGCTAATTGAAGGGAAGCAATTGATGCAGTCTAGTAGAAAAACAGCCTCAGGAAAAGGCATCACATTTCAAGGAGAAACACTGTGAACTGATGGGAGAGCAGAACAAGGGAGAGACAACCTGATATTCTAGTCCAGACCTTTATTAAATTGAACATCCGTCAGAGTCAGAAACAGATTTTTGGGTGCCATCAATGAAATTGCATTAGATATCTCTGTGGATTGATGGATTTATTTATTTTTTTAGGGAGATGTCTTTAATAAATAGGACTTCTGCTATCAAATGAATTTGTTTCATAAAGAAATGATTTGACATATCTTAAGCCCATGGGTTGAATTTCCTTAACGAAATTGTATTTATCCAAGCTCTGCCTTTATCCAGATGCTTGAGATAGCAGTTGCCTGTAAGGCAGACCTTCACTGCCTAATTTTATTAATTGGGATGTGTAAGAGGGGGATAATACAAAACATAATACCAGAATATGCTTGACTTTTGAGACAGGGTATTTCTATTATTTTTCTGTTCTTTGTTATTTACAGTACAGTGTTACTTTCTCAAAGAAGCTGCCTGTGCCTTCCCCACCCATATAAAGTAGGGAAGTTATAGGTGCAGTTAATTTTCAGGTAGGTTGAGGTTCCACCCCAATTTGATCATGTTTTGTTGTAGTGTTGGCCATATTTCAGTGTCATAGCAAACTTGAGATTTCACTACCAGTTAAAATGATGAACTGTTATGAACTGTTTGAGATTGGCTCTAGACTTAAAGCTGTTCTTCTGTCTTTTTACAGCATTTTTATATGAAGGGGTTCTGCAATTGCAGTAACAGAGACTGTATTTTTTAGGAGACTCAGGTTCTGGAATTTGCTGCACTTAAGCAAAAGAATTTTTTTTTTTCACCATTCTGTTGCACTTTACTCACATACTTAAAAGAAATAATATTTACTCTTTAAAATATGAACCCAAAGAAGAACTATGTTCCAGTACATTTCATAATCAGCTTATGTGGAAGTAGTAGTTACTTGAATTAAAATGTTTGTATAGTGTAGTTGTAAGGGTTTTTTGGGGTTTTTTTGTTTTGTTTTTTGTTTTTTCAAAAATAGCCTCTACTGGAGATTCTTTTTAAAGCCAGTGTTGGAAGTTTTGGTAACACTGCCAGCATGATGGGGATTTCCCATGAACTGACTTGTGCTTCCATGGGTCTCTCAGAGTTCTGAAGACTGAGATGCTGTTTTAGGTGAAAAACGGACGACGCAGTGCTCCCCTGAGAGGAGAAACTGAATTCCTAAACCAAAGCA